ATATAAATTTCATAAATTATATGAAATTTATATAATTTATATAATTTATTTTGGGAAAAATATAAATTATTATAATTTAACAACCCTAGTCTTAACTAATAATATAAATTAGCGAAAATGAAATTAAATACTATTAATTAATTGCATATTTTTTGTTGAATAACTATACAATAATTTATTCATAAATAAATACTTTGTCAATTACAATGTCAATACATAAATTAATATGGAAAATAATTTGAATGTGTAGCTAGCAGATTATGTAAATCAATCATTTAATCATTATAAATCTACGTGCAATAACATTAGAATAAATCAATAAAACTTTATTAACAATTGTTAGTTTTCATAGAAATCCATATTACGGTAATATTTAATATTTAATAATACAAAATTGTAACATAACATAAGTGTGTCTGTATTTGTGGTATTTATATAAATTATATAAATTAGTCCAGGTCCACTTCAGTAGTCAATTTGTCATTTACGACCACTTGGTCTTAATTTGGCCGATCAGATCATACGGACATTGAATGTTGGCATAGCATATGTTGGTTAAGAAAAGTGTTCCGGTCGTGAACCTACATAATGTGCATTTGTAGGCATTTCTCTGTTTTGTATGGAATTCCTTCTTATGTTGTCTTAAGATATTCTCGGTTTTCAAGCGCTTCCCACAAACGTTGCATTTGAAGTACCGCTGAATATCGGTATGAGAGGCCGCATGTCTGGTCAACGATTGACAATACCTCGTCTCGAAGTTACAGACATTACATCTGTACAGTCGTCGACCATTCTTATCCATTGTATCATTTGGTTTGGTGTTAACCTTTGAATGTGTGGCCAAGTGTCCCATGAATGCCTCAATGCTATCGCATTTATAATCGCATAAATCACACGAAAACCGATTCGTAATGTCTTTGGAGTGCTTTTCGTATATATGTCGGTATATCTGACCCAATGTGAGGAACTCCTGCAGACATTCACTGCACACGAATGACTCGATATTCCTGTGAACGCCGTTCCCATGTATCTCGAGATCAGATTTTGTGTCAAATAGTTGTTGGCATTCATAACACCAATAGTCAATTGAATTATTATTATTTAAGTCTAAAGTTTTCTTGCATTCATTTTGTGGAGATTTTCCGCAATTTTTATTCAAATTCTGGCTTTCAATCGATACTTCAGTCTCTATACTGGTATCAGTCGATAAGCTATTGTCTGAATTCTTGTGTTGAGATTGTATTGCATTTGGTGTGCAATTCGTGTCATTAGTATTCAATGTATTCATGTCTTCATCGAACGGCTCTTCTTTCAAATCATATGAAATTAAAAGTATTTTGTAATTAATTTTTAAATTAGTGATAATTATCAAGGCAAATACCCAATCCGAATGCATTGTTTTGCGGCAAGTTTGGCGTTTCTGTAACTAAAATCGGCAACATATTCCACCTGTTTTTGAATACTTTCAAACTCATATTTCAATGTTAACCTTAAGTGAGTGGAAAGTGGTTTTGATTTCAATGTTTCAAAACTATTTATATAACACTTACATATTAACTTGTATATTAGAAGTTATCAAATATAAGTTGATATAAAACTTCTAGAAATGTCTTTTTACACTAAAGTAATTAAAACCCCAGTATTTGATTAATTAAATGTTTTATTAAGTTTTTGATACAAATTGAATACACACAAATTATATGTTAATACCGGTAGTTATTAATTACGGTAATAGTAGTCAGTAATTATTTTTTATGCTACTGAATTATGAATAATTTTTTAAAAAAATTATGGAATATATTAAAAAATTAAAAATTATACAAAGGATTTTATATTAGATAAATTAAGTATTAATTATATAATCAAAACAAATTCAATCTTTAATTATAAGATTTATGGCACTGTTTAAAAATAATTAAACAAATTTGAGATATTGTATGCATTTTTAAAAGTAAACAGAATTCTCATACAATTTAATACAAATAAAAATTGTCGACTACTTCTCTATGGGAATGTATGTCTTATTCACTTTCATCACAATTATCTGTAGTGGTGGGACAGGTTTTCCCGTACCGCCGATCGATGCTTATTGGACATATGGGTGATGATGTATGAGCTCCGGTATGTGGCGTATGGACAGAGTTCGCACTTGAATGCATGCCTTTGCGATGTATGGAATTCCCTTTTATGTTGTTTTAATACATTTTTATTTTTCAATCTTTTACCACAGATATTACACTCGAAGGGTCTTAAGGGGTCGAAGGGTTTAGGAGTGTTTGAGTGATTCCTCAGGATATGCCGTCCCAACGATTGTCTGTAAATTGACTTAAAGTCACACGAATTACATCTGAAGAGCTGTCCATTACAGGTATAGCTATTAGTATGGCTTTCGGTGACAATGGATCTGTTATTATCACTTAAATGTGTGGTCATGTGTGTCATGAATGGCTCAATACTATCGCACTTATGACCGCATAATTCACACGAAAAGCGATTTGTCTGAACGTCTTCGCAGTGCTCTTCGGATATATGTCTGGAGATCTGATCCGATGTGAGAAACTCCTGAAGACATTCACTGCAGACATATGTCTCGAGAAGTCTGTGAACTCTATTCACATGTATTTCGAGACCGAGTTTAGTGTCAAACACTTGTCGGCATTCATTGCATTCAAAATCCATTGAGTTATCGTTTGCCATATCTTTGCACTCATTTGGTGAAGACTTTCGCCAATTTGTGTCCAAACCTTGTGTATCACTCATTGTATCCATCGATGTATCAGTCGATGGACTGCTATCTGAGTTCTTGTGTTGAGATTGTATTGCATTTAGTGTGCAATTCGTGTCATTAGTATTCAATGCATTCATGTCTTCATCGATGGGCTCTTCGTTCAGATCATCTGAAAGTAAAACTTATTTTTAGGAAAACATTTTAATTGAAAACACATTTCAAGACAAATACCAGAAACTAATGACTCATTTTGACTATCATTTGAGTATTTGTCACAACTTTTGCCTTTAATTATCGTTTGCGTGGTATCTGTGGACCACTTCTTGAATACCACTGCATTTGATTGACGAGCTTTCGATGCATTCATGTCTGCATTGGTGTCTTCGTTAAGATTATCTGAAAGATAAGACATATTATCGACAAAACTGACGACAAAAAGACATGTTTTGGACACAAATACCCGAAATTAATAACACTATTAACGAAACGTTTGGTGTTTTGAAATCCTATGCAAACAAATGACTCGCTTTTGAAGTCTAACTCACAGTTTGACACATAAATGGGTTTCAATTTGCACTGAAACTCAACACTTTGATACAGTATTTCACACTCACTTGCTAATCTTGGTTATTTTAATTTCTACGAACTTTTATATACAGTATTCATACCATTAAACTCTAGTGTAGTTTTGGATTGTATTATCATTTTATTTCAATATTCACTATATAATTATTTGTAAAATGTTTTTCAATTATCAGATTATCTGAAAATATTAAACAAAAAAAAATCTTCAAATAAACAAACATCTAAAAGACAATTACCAGGAACTAATTGATTAATAATTTATTTAGATATTTTTAAAACATAAAGCAATTACCGGTACATTAAAAAAAATATTGTTTTTGAATACCGGTACAAGCTTAGTTGAAAAACTTTACGCTTAACTGTTATACTGTATCAGTGCCGCCGCTATAGTTTAGAGTAAATACAGATTTATTTACAAATTGTTTGAAACATATTTTTTATTCAAATGTGATTTAAGTTATAATCAATTTGATTGTGTAATAGAATATTGATAACAAAATACAATTAATTAATATAAAACTGAATTTTAAAAAAACATAATTACCGGTATAAAGTATCAGTGATTAAAGTTAGTTACCAATTATTAGTAAATGAATACCGGTAATCAAAATCAATGCCATATATAATATTTCATACTAAACTAATGGCACAATTATGACAAATATATGAAAATCAAGATAATCCCAATTTGTAATTACAATTGATTACAATATGATTAAGGGATTTCATGCATTAAATGTTAAACATTTTGAATGATTAAACACATATTTCAAACATTATATGATTAGTGAGTATTTGATTGAGTTTTTAACCAAACATTCATTTCCTTGTAAGCCTTGCGAACGGCTTTAATATCGCTTGGTTTCAGACCTTCTTTCAACTTTTTGCGATCCATATCCGTGTCCACACCCAATGGCTCCAACATATTACGGGGTAACCATTGCCTACACATTGAGATAAATCATTAGTCAGAAAATTATCACTAAATAGGAACAGCTATTCAACACATACCACAAGCGTTGGGCATCGAAATAGTTAACCAAATAATGGTTACATTGCGTGCCATTTGGTCGCAAATCCAATACATTGACGGACGGCACTGGTATGCCATCGGAATCGTCTGTCCGGTTGGGGTCAACAACAATCGCCGGATACCAGGGAAAGCCCTTACATTTAGCCCAAACCACGTCATTGACCTCGAAATTTACATCTCGAGTGGACAGGGAGTGCGATGTCTTGGGACGCCTTTCACTGTCCGATGAGTTTAAGTAGAAATCCATTGACACCGACCGCTCACTGGATCTCGAGGTGTCTGACGATGACGCCTGCGAAGAGGATAGTGAATGAGAGGGTACTCTACGGCCAGAAGTGGTCGATGAGGTGCCGGTGCCATGGATTGGGTGTTCATTGGAAGAGTGGTCGCGTAGCATATGTCGGGTGAGCATCAGATGGTCTCGTGTGCTATACAGACATACTTTGCAATTTAAAATCCGTGAACTCATGGGCGCCATTGTCTTCTTCATAAGCATCGGTGAACTGTTCCCAACTTTCAATCGTTTAGCGAATCCTTTAAATCGAGATTTCATTGGCTGACGATTACGGGCATAAGTGGTCATCGCATGTCTTGTGGCCATTGATGGTGTGTTTTGTGTGTTCGGGTCGTGTGAATGAGATTCCATGGGCTGTTCATCGATGGTAGGGGTGACAGTATTGGTGTCTTTAGGAGCAGTAGTAGTGGTCGTGTGGGATGTCTTGACGGACTGTCCATCACCGGTAGGAGTGATGTCATTATGAGCAGTAGTGGCGGTCGGATGTGATGTCTTAGTGGATGAATGGGTACTCATGTGAGCGTAAAATAATTCAATACTTTCGCTCCGATATCGACACAAATGACACGAAAAGCAGTCGTCCTCTTCAGTCAAATCAATGGCGTGTTTGTCAGACAAATGAATGGACAACTGGCCCGCCGTGTGGAA